CTTGTGGGAGGAGAGGATGGCGAGCATGGCGGCCTCACGGACGGCGCGCTCGGCAGCGGGAACGGTGGAGGGGATGGGGAGGGCGGAGGCGAGCTTGGAGGCGAAGCCGCCTGGGACGACGTACGCGCCATTGGTGTTGATGGAGGAGAGGTTGGCTGTGAAGGGGAGCTCGGGGGTGGTCGAGCGGGTGACGGGGGTTAAGCTGTCGTGCTGCTCCGTGATGGCCCAGTCAGTGGGATGCTGGGGGAGAGCTTCATGCTGAGGGCCATGGCCCTGGAGGGAAGCTTGGTGTTGGGGGAGAGCATTGTGCTCGAAAGTGGAAAGGGTGAGCTCTTGGTTGATCATCGAGGCGGGCAACTGGTTGAACTGGTCCAAGACGCTCGTTTCGCCATTGTTGTAGTAGGATGCGAAGTCAGAATATTCCATGGGAGGACTGGCTGGTGCTTGAGGGGGTCTGAAGTAGGTGCTGGCATCGTTGAAAAGATGCGAGCCGTCGTCTTCATAGCTGTTAGGGAGGCCGTCGGCTTGAGGCGTGTCCCAGGCACTGGCACAGAGGCTTCGGAGCTCGTCAATCCCCATCATTGTGACCACTTGCAAGGGATGTTTGTCGCTGATGTTTGGGGAGGTGTTCGGTGTGAATCAGAGAGGCCGGCGAATTGAAGCAGAAAGATGAGTCAGATTGCTTGTGAATGCGATAGAGCCGTGAGTCGAGTGACTCCAAGATGTTTTTGAAGCGAGGAAAAATTGGAACTGATGGTGATGGTGATGGTGGTGATGGCAAGCCGGGGGCAGTGATCGTGGAGGAAGAGGGGATTCTCTTATACATCTAAACGACCCACGACCGAATCACCGCGTTTGCCTTTGGAAGAAATTTTTGTTGAGCCACTGAAATCGGATCGAAGTCTGTTTTGGGAGGCAGCTGGGTCTGCTGAGGGAAAACGCGTCGCGTGGAGGCTAACACGTGAGGGGGGGGACTTGGGATGACGGGGCATCTGGTCGTCGAGTCGACCATGAGGACAACGAAAGACAGAGGCATGCTGCTCAGTGAGCCCCGCAAGGACATCCAAACGGGCATGGTGCCTTTGTGGGTGTTCTCCATGTGACTTTGTTGACGTGAGATAACTGAAGCGGAACGTCGGGGAAACAAACCTGGCTTGGTGAACAACAATGGCAGCAGTCGATAGCTGACCAATCCTAGAGCTAGAGGCTGACTTGGCCTACGTGTAAGTTGATTTCAAGACGAAGATCGGCATACCGCCAGTTCGTCCACGGCTTCTCTAGTTGCCTGAGAAGCTATTTCAAAGCTCTTACCTCCTTGCTTTAGAAGTCTGTAGAGACAATCTTTGCCACTATCGCGTGGCTTCGACGAGCTTAAGATCTTATTCCACAGCTAAGCGACGAAGCTTTGTGTTGTCTTGTAGAAGACCTGCTTGTCGTCAAACCGATTCCAGATTATTGATTCCTTGTATAAACGAGAGTATGGCAAAAATGACGGACAGGGACGACAATGACCAGAACTCGGCTAACTACTGCTCTTTTGCTACGTTTTCAGCAGAACGACCTCACTTTAGCACCATGCGTGCCGAAGACGTTGAACATTTCAGTACAATGCCTCAAATTTGTTGGGTCTTGGTAGACATTTGAAGGCTGTCAGCTTTTATATCTCGAACACCTTTTGAACGATGATGGAATATGCCTCGCGACGTCAACCTTGTCGGGGCACGACTTGATATAAAATATAACCTGGCATATCACTACCTGGTCTCTCTTCTGTGTATGAGCAGGGGAATGAGGCTAGCTGCAAAAACGCTGAACACTGTGCAGAGTCACTTGAGTGACTCGCCAAATTCCCAACCATCGAGTCCTGATGAATACATCCGAAACTCATCACAAATTTCTCTGTTCCTATCTCTGATTGATTCTCGCAAGAGTAGCCTCTTTAATAAAGAATTCGGGATCTGTCCGAGCCTTGAAGCCTGTCGATATCAAGGTACGATACCGACCGGGTGCAAACTCCACGCACTGAATGACCGACCGATTTTGGAAACTCTTTCACTTGTTTGTCTATGAGGACATACGATGCTGAAATTGTCGGTCGTTTTATGCATATGTAACAATGAGGATGGGAACCCCTCGTGCAACATAGACGACAGATTTGTGCTGACCTAAAAGCTATCACGAAGTTCAAACGAAAACCTGACAAGGGGCTGAACACACGAACCCTAAGAGTCAATTCCCACGAAAGCGACTTGTCTTGCTCGTCGTTACTCGTCTCCCAATTTTGAATCCTACTTCTATGTATTCATTGGCAAGTAATGTGATAGCAGCTAAAGGAGACAGTTGAGATCATACAGTTGATCTGCGATTGAAGTTTCCTCTTCAGAAGTGTGAATACTTTGGGAATGTGATACCTTTGCTCCCACCTGCTCAAACAATTGGCGTAGATATACAAGCAGAATGACCAGAATCTCCCACGAAAAGAAACTTATCTATGTTAAATTCTATCCAACCTAAGCCTCTGTTGAGGTTTGCTAGCCGGGCAGTGTCCACCACGTACCCGTGTAACCCGTACATCGACTCTATTGTTACCATCTGTCATCGTCATCTATTAACTTTATATCCTATCGTCGTCTACTATCGTCATCGTCATCATCGTCATCCTCGTCCTCGTCTTTCGTCGTTATCATCTTCTTTACTACTATCGTCTTTATCTAAGCATTAGGTTTATTACGATTGGCATAGTAGAGTACATTACGCGGACAGCCAAGTGACACTACCTGGAAAGCGTTACTCATTATGTCACTCAAACCATGACTATCGAAGCTATCACCATGGGCAAACAAACTTATGGCCACTCCCACCGGGTCTCGGCAATGTGACATTTCAATGTTTCAACCTATAAAAGCAATCCTTCCGTGAGATTTCATGAGTTCAACGACATGAAAGTTGTGGGCTTGATGTGTAGGCCTTGAATCATGAAGCCACTGACTGAATCTGGCGAGTTGGCTTAGAGATGTCTCGCTGCCGCAATGAGGGCTTGATCTATTCTCAAGGCATTGCCTTCCGGACTTTATTCCCAGCAAATAATCAGAACGCAGAGACACCAAGAGATGAAGCTCGACGCAGTGTTTACGGAGGAGCCGCAAAGTCAAGCCATCGCTACCTTGCATTGATGCGTCGCACTGCTAAGTGCACCGAACTCAACGAAACCTAGCTGGGTACAATCGTGCTGAAGAACTGAAGAACCGTTCTATGCTGAATTAATCCTCTTATATACTTTCTGACAGGGCCTTGCCGCGTATTCTTCCTGTAGGCCGCAATGCCCCAAGACTTGGAACTTACCAAACGAGAACAAGCCCGGGACGTTAATCATTTACTATAAAGCATGATTTTCTAAGACATTTTATCTGTAGGACATTGATATAATCGGCGTATGTGTCTTATGACAGTTGATGAAAAGCCAGGAATAAGCTTTTTTGATCGTGAGAGCTCGCTTTATGAGAAAAGTCTCGTCTATGTTTTCCAGGTGCCCACACACGTAACTTAGTCTTCAGTCTTCTCGCTTGTGTTATTCCTCGCTGTAATATACAGAGAAGGATGACTGGTAACGACGAGAAGTTTCCCGCAAGGTCGTCAATCATTATGGTCAAGTATCGCTGGATTTCTCCTGATGTTTGCTGACGCTGTTTTCCCAGCACAAACCTTTAGACCTCAGTCCTTCAGAGCTCAGCGAACAGGGCCTAGTGGAGGATCAATTTGCTCGTCAAGTTGTTTCTGTAGCCACGCACCACTACTATTTATGCCACGACCCAAGAAGGTGCGTCGCTTTGGTGGGTCCTGCCCTCCCGAGCCAAGTCGGAGTTGACATCGGTTGAAAAGCATATTTAACTCGCTTTGACTAGAGCTTTTGTTAACGGCACAGCACGAATCGAAGTGTGCCATTACCTCGAGACTTGATCGCCTGGCTTGACTTGCTTAGTGTAAAGCATGTTGACTCCAACTACTCTTGCGAGAGGACCCGATGGAACCACGACAAGTCTAGGCCGGATATATGCGAGAATACGCTAGAGGGAACGGTGGTGGCAAATGAACTGTCCCCTGTAGAAAACCAACAGTGACCGAAAAGAAAAGCTGACCTGGCATACGTTCGTGACTTTTCCCATCCAGTTCCGACCAAATGAACAAGCCTGAATGGTGGTCAGCGATCTAATCTGTCGTGCAAAATTTCTCATAGGAAATGAAAATATGGGTATTTAAGCAACTCGTCATGGCTACTCCGTATGACTGTGCCATTCCGCCACACACAAGCTGCTGAAGAGTGACTTTACAAATGCAGTATGTACTTAAAGACAGATGCTCCACGCTGATGCAGCATTTGACACCGCGACGCAAATATGGTCCATGGCTTGAGGTCTGTGACGAGTGTTGTCAGTTTGACCATTCTTGCTTGGTTTCTCCGCAAAAGATCGTGAGATGCTGTCTCAACTTCTCAAAACAGCAAAAATATCACAAGCCAGCCGAAGGCTTTGAAACTATTCGAAGTCAAAATAGCAAAGAAAACGGAGATTGACAATGAAAGATTCAAAGAAATAAGGATCGCGAGGATAGGGGCAGGCAAATGAAGAGACAAGATCGAGCAAGCAGATTGCTTTTCTGACTGTTCATTGCCATCCAACGCTTACAACATGAACATCGATTGCCGTGGGGAGTTTCTCAAAGCTAACTGAATACTATTCAAAGTATTTGAGGCACAGCGCAGGCAATTCATCTTAGGAAGGACTAGGGGATCAGGTTCAAACAACATGCGGTATATAAAGCTAGGCCTCTGGCTGAGAACGGAACCTGACCTTACAGCGCAACCAGATCCACGTGGTTGCTGCCACCTCTAATTGATCGTTCTAGCTCGCTTGCTTTACACGCGATGCCACACCCACATGGTGTCAGCTAACACGAAAGTAAGTTGACATAGTCGAGGACTTCCGCAATGATATGATTCTATTCGGAATACATCAGGAACAGCGAGGGCGGATAATGAGCAGGTGAGAAAAGTGGCGAAGAACGACCAATGAGGAAATACAAACAAGGCACGCCAAATGTTCATCTTTTGGCTGTTCAGTCTCATTCAAAACTAAGAGAATACCGCAAGTTGATTGCCCTGGAATCTTTCAATGGCTAATTCAACATTATTTATATGGTTTCGCGTCAATGGCTACTCACTGATGATTTCCAAGAAGAATGGTGTGTAAAAAGCCGGAAACGAGCTGGGTTCTGTTGAAGCTTGCCCTCCACTGTAATTCCCAACATTACAAGTTGAACATACACGGATTCTCTCAGCCTTTGTGCTTCGAGCTCCCAACTGATGACCAAAACCCCTGCCTGGGAGGTGGGCATGTCGTCGGGACCCGGCCAAAGCCGTTACCGCGGCTCGGGAGTTGGGGTAAAGATGTGGGACCAATCAGGCCCGGTGCAGATCCGGGCACTACCGGAACGCAGCCGGATCAGCAGAAGGATTCCGTCACTCGCTCAGTGGCAAAATTCTCAGCGTACAATGAAGAAATAACTATTCAGAACTGTATTTGAAAATCTATGTGAATCCGATTGAGGAAACTCTAGTAGCGGACCAAGCCAAACGCTCCCACTGGATATTTCCATTTCGGCCATCTTGGGCTCGTAAACCGTAGTTATCATGCAATGCAATGCGCAAAAAAAAAAAAAAAAAACAGATTAAAAAACGCCGTGTAGAATGCCACCACACTCCAGCCGGGCGCCGTGAAGCATATGCCAGACCTTTCCCCATTTTAAGCTCTTTCCGCTGTAACAATCACACACGAACTCAAGAGTCTATAATTTGCTCTTCTCGACGTCTTCCATCTCTTTACGAATAAAGTCATTGAACTCGTCGGCGTTATCGAGGTAGAGGTGGTGGCCCGCCTTGGAAATGACCTTGACCTTGGCGGACCCGTTCTCGCGGGCCTTCTCCTCGTCGGTGGCGGTCAGCAGCGCCTGCGCGCGGCGCTGCTTCAGCTTCTCCTCGGCCTCGAGGCCGCCCGCGACGTCCATCCAGTCGTTCTCGCCGTACATGAAGACGACGGGGATGCCCGTCTCGCGGATCTTCTCGCCGTTCTTCTCGATAACCTGACGGCCGACGCCGTCTATCCTGTTGATGATGGGGCTGCGGGCGTAGGCGCCGGGCGCGAGAATGTAGGGCAGGGCGTACTCGCCGCTGCCGCGCTGGCGGAAGATGGAGAAGGCGTAGTCGTGCAGGGACTTGGACTCGTCGGCGGGGAGGTGGTTGAAGCGGCGCGAGGTCCAGCCGGAGACGAAGCGCGGGCCGAGGGGCCCGGTGAAGCGGACGATGCTGAAGGGGGAGACGTTGGCGTCCCAGAGCCAGACGAGCCAGCCTGGGAGGGGCCGCTTCGGGGCGTTGGTGGAGTTTGTGGAGGTCTTGGAGCGGGAGGCGGCGGCGGTGGAGGAGTTGTGGTCGTCGGTGGTGACGGCGTTTTGGTCCTGCGTGAACTCGTTCTGAAGGGTGGACTCTTCGGGCTCGGGCATAGACTCATTGACGGCGTAGGGGTCGGCGGGGATGCCGACCGGGGAGGCGAGGATGAGCTTCTTGATGTGGCCGGGGTACTTGAGGGCGTAGGCGACGGAGAGGTAGCCGCCGAGGGAGTGGCCGATGAGGGTCATCTTGTCGATGTCGCGCTTCTTGCGCCACTCCTCGAGGGCGTCGATGAACCAGGCCTCGGCTTCTGCGGTCTTGGCGGCCTGGTCCTTTGCGTGGACCTTGAAGGGCGGGCGGGTGGAGTTGCCCATGCCGAGCATGTCGAGGGCGTAGAGCTTCCAGCCCTTTGCGCGGGAGAGGGGCTCGAAGTTTTTGTAGAAGAAGCCGAGGCCGGCGCCGTAGCCGTGGACGATGACGAGGGTGTTGTCGACCTTTTCGCCGACGCGCTCGACGGAGTACTCGTTCAGGGCGCGGTTCTTGCCGGAGAGCTCGACCATTTGGGAGGACCACACGCGCTTGCCGAAGGGGTCGTGCTTGTTCGAGTCGAGGGTGTCTTTGAGGTAGGGGATGTGGGACAGGACGTTGCGCTCGGCCATTTGGGGGGTGACGCTGGACCACTGCGGGAGAAGAGTGTTAGTCTGCTGGAGGGTTTAGGTGTCACGATGCTTCTGAGGGGTTCTTACCCATTCGTAGACGGCGTCCTTGTATCCCAGAGGGAAGTAGGTGCCGGCGGGACGGCTTCGCGCATCGGGGCGCGCAGGTGCGGCGGAGGCGGCCATTGTCTGGCTGTATCGGCGTTGAATTGAGTCTTCTGAGGAAGGGCGTATGCTGGGGGCGGATGTCGATTTGACGCTGGAGGAGGACGAGGTGATTATGGAAGAAGCAAGCTTCAGTCGCGACCCGTTCACCACAGCAGAGGCAGTTTGTTGCTGTATCATACCGGGTGGACGGGGGTGGCGAAAGGGAGGGGTGGGCGTGTTATATACGTGATGAATGACGGGCAAGACAACAGAACAAGGGCAGGCAGGTGTAGGTGCGAGCTACGCTACGGTGGCAGCAGCAAGGCTCGCAATACACGTGGGATTGGTGTCAGTGTGGCTGCGGGCGCCGGATGTACGTGTCCGGAGAACGGATTTTGCGCAGTGTCGGGGGCCCTTTGAAACTTGCGACGACTCATCAGTCAGCGGAGAGCCGGGGGTGGTAAGGTGCAGGCGGAGCGGAGGATCAGATAACAATTGAGAAAAATCGAGAAGAAATCTCGGAAACGCTGCCAATGGAGGGCTAGGCCGTTGGAGGGGGAGGGGGGTGTAGAGACAGAGGCAGAGACAGACGGGTGGTGACGCTGACTTGGGACAGGAACAAAGAGGCAGTTTGGCAGTGGGAGGGCCCGTAATTCGACAAGCTTGTTGAGAGCAGTTGGGGGCGACAGGGGTGGACGGGCGGGATTGGTGGGCTGCGGAGCGGTTCATGGACTTAGCACTCGGAGTTTGGCGGGCTGAATGTGGGCCGGTCACCTGCATTGGGCCGTGTCGGCGGTAAGAGGCCACCAACACTCCGATGTCCCGGGGGGAGCTTCCAGAATGAAGCCTTTTGTTTGCTGCCTGGCTGGGCTGAGCTGAGAGAAGACGTAAGCACGGGAATTATATCCAAGCCGTACACTTAAAGTAGGCGTCACTAGATGGTATTTTGGGAAAGAATACCGCTGTAGGTGTCTGTCTGGTTTGGTTTGATGCAATCTGGACTGGCCGATGCATGACATCAACACTTGGAGCCGTTAGAGTCTGTCTGCAGTAGCCCGAGCGCATTGGGTTTTCGAGAAGGGACGAAGCTTGTTTCCATCGAATTGTTTCAATGCATCAGCTCTTCCATGGACTTGATAACGATAGATACTGGTGTTATGGCATGGCCGTCGTAGGCATGTCAAGTTCCAGAGCCATTGTCTCTTCACGAGCTCTCAAATCCCTCTAAAAGAAGAAATCACTGAACCATTGCCTCTAGTCCCTGAATCTGCAACCACACAGACCAAACTCCTAACTGCACGCCACGTAATTACACCAGTTGAAGCCAGTTGTCGGTTACCAACAGCTATGGAGACGTTTTCGCGTCTAAATTGGTCCAAATCTTGAAGACCAGTCAGAAAACAACAGCTCCCCCCTGGCCGTTGCTCAACTTGTTCAGCAATTAATCTCGTGGTAGCATCTCTTCCCCAACAACTGGGTGCCTTATCCTTATCGATATCGCTTATCGCTCCAAGACGCCAGGACCACTTTCACCCGCCTCCCACCAAAGGGCAGGTGCAGCTCTTTGCTATGACGTTCCACACCTGCCACTTCACCCACCAAACGGAGCGGAATTTCCACCCCAGCAGCACCAGCACAAGCCAACGGCCAGCCTGCCAGCCCACTTCACCTGCAGGCCAGCAGCAGCTCTGGCGGGCAGTCCACCGTCCAGTGTCTGACATCTGACCACCGCCGTCCAATTCCGCCCTTGTCTCGCCGGCAGAAACATCCAACTTCGACACCGCACATTCTTCCCTTCTCCTCCCACTCCAAGGGCAGTGCAGCGCTGCAGCTTTTGTCGTTGCTCCCTCCTGCACCTGCACCTCAATCCGACATCTCCTGCGCATCTACCATCGCGCATGCCTGCGTACATCTGTTGACGCGCCTGCCGCCGAGGTCCAGGCCCCTCCAAAAACCTCCAATTCCGTCCCGATCGAACTTCTTGACCGCTGCACCGCACCCCGACCACCACCGCCGAAGGGGGAAAACCACACCCAGTCACCCCCTTTCGGACGCACTCATACCGCAGCCATGGCCGACGTCGACTCCATCGTCAAAGGCGCCCCGCCTCCGGGCAAAGAATCCAAGTCTCCCGTCGGCACCACCGGCGTACAACCAGACTCTGGCAAGCCGACCGACCCGCTGAGCCATACCCCGAGCTCCCCGTCCATGGTCTACCTGAACCTCCTCATCCTCGAAGCCTCCCTTCGCGCGCAATATCTCGAGCTGCGCGCCCGCCGCCGTCATCACACATTCTTCTTCACCCTGCTCACCGCCTGGATATGCGGCTTCGGCTACGCCCTCTTTTTTGCCCCGCGCGAGGACGGCCGCGGCGTTGGCGGCTCCGTTTACTGGGGCGTCGAGACTTTTGAAAAGATCTGCTTCATGGGAGGCGTAATGACCGCCATCCTCGTCTGGGCTACCGGCATATGGGAGCGCGGCATCCGCTGGCCGCGACGCTGGTTCCCCATCTCAAACCGCGGCCTGCGCGGCTTCAACTGCAAGCTCGTCATCATTCGCAGACCGTGGTGGGCCGAGATGGGCTCGACCATTGGCTTCTTCCTAACCTACGGTCTCTTCTCCCACACCGCGAGCTCATCCTACCGCTATGTCGAACCGTCCATCCTGCGCGAAGTCGAGAAGGAGCTCAGCCTCAACCCCGATAACCACCCCACGCTACCCATCCTGGTCGAGGACGAAGAGAAGGGCGGCCACGAAGAGGATCTCGCCCCGGGCGGCGACTACGTGAAGCTTCTCATGCTTGCGAAGCCATTTACGCCGACATTTAGAGAAAACTGGGAAATCTACCGCACAGAGTACTGGGAGAAGGAAAACGAGCGCCGCGCCCTCATCCAGAAGAAGCTCGCCGCACGCGATCGCCAGGTAGCCAAGCAGCGCTGGGGCATCTTCTGGTGGCTCCCCTGGCACCGTGTCGACCGCGCAAACACCCTCCGCCCCGGCTCCCCGTCCCGCCATGGCAGCGAAAAGACGACGATCCACCCCCGCGCCGCAGCTATCGAGCGCGAGCACCGACGCCGGAGTAGCACCACCAGCGCGCACCGCCGCAGCTCGACGAGCTCTTCGCGCAGCCTCACGCCCTCCGTTGCGACGATGCCCGGCGACGACGGAGACGGCACCGTCAGCAGGAAAGCCAGCACGGGTTCCAACGCGTCCGACAAGAGGCGGAAGAAGCTCGGGTCCATGTCCAAGGCGAAGCGCCCCAACATTGAGTCGAGATCAGTCACACCCGACATACCGTCGCCGCTGGCCAGGGAGAGCAGCGTCACGCGGACGGATAGCGGGTCCGGAGCCGAGAGCGTGGCGGAGAGGTCGCTGCGGCATTCATCGTCCAAGGCTAGCATCAGCTCTTCCGCGAACTCTGTGCGGGAGAAGCACCGAAAAGCGAGCGAGGCGTGATTTCTGCCGGCATATGGGTGTCATGTTACTTTATGATTCAAAGAGGGAATAGCGAAGAGATGAAAAATGAATATGGCTCATGCGCGTCGATACGCTCCTTGGCCTTTATGTGAATTCCTCGCTAATGACTGTCTGAGGTTTCCTGTCGGACAATTGCGGAGAGTACGATGTTAACTCGCATGCCCAGCGGCTGTTCACCCTGACTTCCGCACGGGTCGATGACATGATTCCGAGAGTTTCCGTCTTGTGGCCTGCGTCTTCTGCGTTGCAACCCCGCTTCCGTTGAAAGTGACATGGAGATTGGCAGAGCGCTCCTCGCACTGGACTGGGGTCGAGTACAAAGTGAGGTACAAGGGAGACACGCGATTGCCACAATACCAGACACAGCATGTCGATTGGTATTCGTGGTCTGCAAAATCTTGGACCGAACGCCAATGAATGGTCTGACGATGAAAGTGCATATTTTGTCACGACCATGTGAGAACGATGCCGCGTGGTCTCCTGGTTTAATTGGCCATGCTTGCAGTAGCGTTGCGTTCTACTCGCACCGCCTCGACCAGCCAGTTCTTTGCTGTGTTAGCCCTCGAAACTGCCTTGGTGCTACAGTCAACCAGCGCATATGCCGGCGAGACATCCTGATACACAGGATGAGCCGCACTTGATCGGACTAGGTGGTCCAAAAAGCCACAGCTTCTCCGTTCCATATCGATATCATTTTCAAAACTTTCACCAACACTTCTCGGACATGGAAGCTATTTCCGTGGCGGCCAGTATCGCTGGCCTTGTCGGAATTGCCGGCCAGGCCATCAGTGGTGTGATTAAGCTGGATGGCTTTATCCAAGACGTTAAAGAGTTGGATGGCCGGACGGAATCCCTGACAAAAGAGGCGCGGAGCCTCGCCATCACTCTCAACCATGTCAAGTCTCTACTGGAATCTCTAGGAGGGGCACCTGCGCAGAGTGATACGTCGCCCTGGAACGCCAAAGTAGCAGAGCTTAGCTTACATCTGAAAGACTGCCACAATGACTTGGTTGAGTGGACGTCACCGGCCGATGCAAGACCAAGGCATTCGTCGAAGCGCCAACGGATCATAGATGCCATTCGGAACCGACGATTAAGGGAGATTTCTGGCATCGAATCAAAGATCGAGTGTCATCGGTCGCAACTCAGCGTCGACCTTGGCGCGCTAACCAGGTATACTGCCGTGGGTAATGAGGGCAGTAACTGCGACTGACTATGTGCGCAGTTTGATATCATCCATGAGTCTCGCCAAAGTCGACCTGGTTCAACAAGGTATTCTCGAGTTGGTCGAATGCAACTCGAGAATGGAAACTTCGAACGAAGTGGCTTTTCTCAACGCGAAACAGGACTTTTCCGGCCGGGAACATAGGCTCAAGGAGCACTACGCCATCATGTGCGAACGGCATATGGCCCAAATATCTAAGATGCACTTGGAGACTCAAAGCAAGCTCTCCGACCTCAGCAGCAGCTTTTCGAGCTTCAAAGGCTCTCTTTCACACCTCTTCGATTCTGGATTATCACTGCCTTCGACGGAGATGACACGAAACAGTGACATTCTCTTGTCCAGAAGCTACCCATTTCCTAACTCGATGGCATGCGACTCGTGGAGAACTCTGAAGAGGCCTCTCTCTCTATGGTCGCTTCCGGATGCAGGCTCTGACTCATCTGCGTGCTACACAGGATGGTCTTGTGGTCAAGGTATTGGCATCGATTCCTTTTTCATCAGAAGCGACTCTTGCGTCGAATCTTGCTGCATCCTCTGCAGCAAATCAGCAGATGTCGTTGACTCTGAAGTGCAAGCATGTCACTTGATCATTGATCATCATTTCGCCAGCTGCGACCAGAATGTTATCTATGCAACAATTGAAGACTTCAAGGAGCATCTTCAAGTGGAACATTTTGCGGAAGAAACCGTTCTACACTCAGACTTATTGCAGAGACATCTTGAACGCTTTCAAAGACAGGGAAACACTTCGTCTGACGATCGAATCGCCGCCCTTGCAGGTGAAGATGGTCCACCGCAGTCACCAAAAGCCACGATGAACATTGTCAGCCAAATGACATCTTTATTCTCCGGACTGGCACAGTCGGCAAGATGGGCAGCTCTTTCTTTCGAGACATCTACTGCCGAACCCTCGCGAACGTTCGAAAGACTGAACCAAGCTATGAAGATCTTGGCAAATCATGTGTTCACCCCAGGAGAGTCGTCATATCTTGCTATACGGACACTTCTTGAGGCAGCGAATCTGGAACAAGGACTTCTTATCAACTTCAATCGGTCGTTTCCTCGTGGATGGACCCCCGTACCAGATTCTCTTTTGGAGCCAGCACAACTGGATCAATTGGACGCCATGCTTCAGCGTAAGGTAAAGGCTGCCATCAACCCATTCATTCACCCCTCGGCCTGGCTATCTTACACTACAGTGATTTGGCCATACTTTCGAGTGGCACTCTCTACAGAAGTGCTAGATTCTCACCGTTTTCCGCAACCGCACTTACGAAGAAGACGATCCCAGTATATCGACGTTGCTGTCAGAGCTTTTGGAGAAGGCGTTTCCGAGCGTTCTGTTTCTTGGCTTCTTCTCGACCCAAGACTACGGATTACAACAATCTATGCCCGTCTACACAGCCGGAATACTAAGAGAGCGCGAATAAACTTGTGGATGCTGGACGTACTTCACAAGTCAGATCATTTGCTGACTGTCCTACGTTGCAAGGCACTACTCAATAGCAGTTTAGACGAGCCGGCACCGCCTGTTCGAGAACATCCCGAACCAACAGCTTCCGACTACCAAAATAGCGATTGGGACATGGACATCGGAAGAGGCTGCTCCCAAACTCCATGGACTTTTGATATCCTCAGGTCTTTTGAAGAAGAAGATGATTGGTCCGAGTATGACCCGAGAGATTCGCAGTCAGACGGGGCTGTAGACAGCCGTGATGAGGAAGAAGAGGAGTAAATTTACCACCCGCCGATATCGGGCGCTCGGTTCAATCCTTTACTTCATTCTTCCCATCACAACAAGAGACTCCTTAGAGAAGATCACCAGAGCCCGTTTCCAGCAACAGGACCCATCATATTTGGGCCTATCACATTATGACCAAAGCTCAAAGCTTAAGGCACAACAATGAACATGTGAGAAACAAGAGTCCCTCAAAGAGTCAAACTGTTTGTTTAACGAGTGAAATGAGTAGAACACCCTCATTGAGTGTCTTCGACAAGACGCTAGATTCAATCCGTTTTGCACGACTACCTAGTGTGCAGCAATCTTCAAGGGCGAACCCAACGTTTGCTCCGCCTCGAAAACGCGGTGGAGTAATTGAGCGAATAAGAGCGCAAGGCAACAAAATCTGACAGATGAGTTATATTGGATGGATTGGACCATGGCCTCCAATCTCTGAGGAAGGTGTGACGGTTAGCAGAACGCTGCTTGAGCTTATGATGGGGTTCGGCTGCATCAACCACTTAGAGCTAAAAGCGCCTGGAATTGTCTCAGCCAATGAGAAGACGGTTGCGAAAGGGGCGGCTTCGTTTTGGTGCAGTCCCTTACCTAAGGTATGATATATGATATCGAGCATGATTGGCCTGTAGAGACGGCGTGCATGCGGGGTATTCTTCTTTGTATTATCCCAAATCCACCATTTTCATTTCTCAGGTCAACATGCAATGGTATGATCAGAGTATGGAGGCAGCTGTCAGCATCGTCGACATAGTTTCCTCCGCCGACCAGATCCTCAACGGGCTGGTGAAACTGCACGAATTGATTCAAGGCCACCAGGAGTCAGTCACCAGAGCAGATAATGCGATCAGAGAGACAGCGCTTCTGAAATCGACGATTATAGAGCTGAAGAGCAATCTGGAGGCTTTGAGAGACAATGGTTTTGCCGATAGTAGTCTGCCATGTTCTTCGCTTGTTGCTGTCGTGCAGACTCATGTAGAGGGATGTGGCAGGGATATTGAAGACTGGGTCGACGGCCAGATACTTCCAGAAGGACCTTCTTCTAAACGACAAAAGATTGGAGACGTCTTCAGTAATCGGCGAATTCGGTCAGTTCGAGACTTAGAGTCGAAGCTTCTGTCATACAGGAGTCAACTCAACTGGGACATCGGCGCAATGAATATGTTGGAACTCTCACTCGAAATCATATGTTTTGATTTCAGCTGATAGATCGTAGATCGATGTCTCATGGCGGACTAGAGAAATTCCACCGAATTCAAGTCGATGCTCAAGGGCTGACAGAATCCAACTTGAGGTTCAATGCCCAGACTGAGGAACACATGAATGGTGTCCTTACGGACTCGGCTATCCGAAACCATGCATTGGTGGAACATATCTCAATGGCGTCAGAGGGCCAAAAAAGACATGCTACCATGATGCAAGAAGAGAATCAAAATCGGATATCACGAATGAGTGATAAAATTCCCAGCACCGCCAGTGTTGCCAGCTCTCTCCAACAACTGATCAAATCATCGTCGCTGCAAAGAAGCACCAGCGAGTCTGAATACTCCGCGAACTTCCTTATATCGAGTCCTCCAGAACCTATTAGCGGGAGAAGAAAACGGCGATTCTCAAGGATAGAAGACGAGACGAGCGAGGTGAGACCACGCTTCAGTTTCACCGAGACGTTTTTCAGGGGGACATGGTCGTGTGGAGCTCTTGTTGGAATCGATCAGGCATTTAATCGAGAATACGACCAGATCTCGTTCATTTGCTTGTTTTGCGACAAGCCATTCCACAAGAACGACTTCCTTGAGCGCGCAAAACATCTTGTCGACCGCCACAAGTTCTCAGAATGTGATCAAAGCATCGTGTACACTGCCTCTGAGGATTTCAAATCTCACCTAGAATCCAATCACTCGGCTTCAAGAGAAGTATTGAACGCAGAGAACTTTGATCTTTCTCTTTTCGTTACAAAATTCCGCATTTCTACCGACAGACGGCAATTGATGCTGGGGGGAAACCCGCAACCTGCAGACATTCCCACGACACATGTCCTGCTCAACTCGCAGCTATCGTCTCTTCTCTCTAGAACGCCTTACCTTGAGTACGATAGCTGCGAATCGGGGGTCATTTCAGCCGACTCGCAGGTAATCAATCGAGCTATGGAAGCACTGGCGAAGGATGTATTTTCACGTCATGTCTCTTCGCCGGAATTGCCGGGGATCTTGTATCAAGCCGCAAATCTCGAACAGGAGCTCATTATCCAGTCGAACCGTCCCTTTCAAGGAAGATGGGCTCCAGTACCCGACTGTTTGATGAGGGCGTCTTCGCCAAGCCAGCTTCGCGCAATGCTCAACCGAACCACCAAGGAAGTTTTAAGGTCATCGCTCCATCACCTACTTTGGCCGACCGGTTCTGGCACTGCCATTTTCAGACAGTCCCAGTTGTGTACTGAATGTGTGAGAGAGAAAGTAAGCAATCATCGCGAATGCGGTGCCAATGTGTCGATGCTATGCAAGAGACACCATGAAGAGGTACTAGGGAGTGTCTATCCTCGAAGCACTTGGAAGTGGTTTTCACTAGACCACACGCTCAAGGTCTCTGCTCTCTTCGTCAAACTCAAAAAATGGACAACTCCTAGAGAGCGTATCGAATTATGGATGCTCGATGTTCTACACAAGTCAGATCATCTGGTAGCCATGTTGCGGTGTAATGCCTTTTCGGGCATCTTGGCAGGCTCATCGGCATTCCCGGATGGGAAGCCGGACAACTGTTTGACAGAGCACAAGCCAGACTTCTGGGGTACTCAGTGGACGCATGACTTGCTGGCCACATTCGATAAAAACATAGAACCGTTCCATTTCGGCCCAATAGGGGAGGAGTCAGAAGGCGCAGTTGACAGTCGCGAAGGGGACAACGAGTTCTGTGTTCCTTTCCGACTGAAGCTTAGTGGACCACTTCACAGCAACATGCAAGTTTCGTAACAATTCGGTAATTACGATTTTAGAAGGAACTTTAATGCATGCCTCCCGCATATGCGACAATATGCCTGAATCTATTGTTTCCATGCAGGCTCGCCCGAATTCGACAGAGTTGAATGCCTGAATCTGCTGGTAGCGAGTGCCTACGCCTCTCCTTTCACCACCAGCACCCTATCAGGATCAATTTGTTTACGGGGTCCGACAGGCTGACAATGAGGCGCAGCCGACAAACACTGGTAGCCATTCGTTCTGCCTTGAGGCAGTATTGCAGCAAATTGGCCAATGAAACCTACCAAAAGTCATGCAGTCTGCACCTGGAGTTTTCAATTGTAATTTGTGCCTGATAACCTGAACACAAGAGGCCATGTATATGACCGAGAGAGTGAAACCACCCACTGCCTTCTTCCCTTCCTTCCCTTTCTCAGTATACTTACCACCAGCACAACGGTCTTCCAACAACCTCACACGGCAGCTATGGAAGTCGTTGGGGCGGTATCCGGCATTGCTGGTCTTCTGTCTCTTGGAGGACAGGTATTTTCCGGCGCCATAAAGCTAATTGAGGCCATCGAGGACATGAAAGACCGAGATGATCAAGCAAGGCACCTGAAAGAAGAAGTATCGGACCTGGCTTCAGTTTCCATTCGGCTCAGTTTGAATGTGCAAAGCCTACGAGCAGATTCAGACTTTATAGAGTCTGACTTCAAGATGTTGGAGGAAAATATCCAGTCGCATCTCGTTGACTGCGATGTCGACCTGCGCAGATGGGGGACGATTCTGAAGAAGCACTATTCAACCCCTCTTACAAGGATGCAGAAATTGTCTGAGATGTTTCGCAAAGACGATCGTCGGGAACTACGTGCAATAAATCGACTCCTCGGAGAGTGGCGGAGCAAGCTCAGCCTCGACATCAACGAACTCAACAGGTGTGTGAGACTAAGATTTTCTCGCAATATTACTGACTCTGTTTTAGTCTGTTCTCTTCTAGTGGATGGCGAAAGCTTGACAAAGCCCATGAAACGATGCTAAACTCACATTACGAGTTGACGGAAATACACAAGGCGATGCTCGCAACGGCAAATATGGATTCGAAAACCAGTTTCCGGAAGCTGAGTGAACACTTTCTGCGGTTCGAAGACGATCGAATTGAGAGGGAAAATGCTTTTTACGCGAAAATTTCGACGGAAGTCATGGAGATAAAGAGTTACGTGTCGAGTATTGATACCTCTCTGCGTAGCTCTTTGCGCAAAGGCTCCATATGGACACGTTTTGTGAGGTCTGACACCAAGAGTGATTCTTACGACGGAAGCACTTTTAGAGAACAGGATCAATCAGCCAGCCAAAACACGTTTGACACTAAAAGTGTTTCTCACTACGGAGGCACTTTTAAAGAAAAAGATCAATCAGCCAGCCGACAGCCGAAAGGCGTTAAGGTGTTGAGAGCCGATGGTATAAGCAAAAGCGCGATATGGTCGTGCGGTGAGACTCTCGGCATTGACGACTACTTCGTTGAAACTGAGACCAGGGACAAGATTTCATGCCTGCTGTGCATGGAAGAAATCGATACAGACGCTGGATACGAGCAGGCTAGACATCTTGTTGAGTCTCATCAGTTCAACGAATGTGACCCAGGTCACTACTTTACGTCCAAGAGACACCTCAAAGCGCATTTGCAATCGCAACATGCAGCCGACCCGGATGCTTTAGAGCATTACCGCGCCAAACGCGATTTTGGTGGCTTCGAAAGGAGATGGAGTCACTGTGACTCTCGAATTTACGATCTTTCGGGACGATCGCATATGCCAGAGGATCTGCAGTCAACCAACACTACTGCGTTGAGAAGCGAGATGAGTTTCTGGTTAGCAACAATTAAGTCCTGCTTAGTTCTCCAAGACCATCAAAAGTCTTCTCTGAAGGACGAAGCGACTGCCTCAGCTGCAATGTACCGGGGGATGAACAGCGCTTTGACCGAATTATCGGTCTTAGTATTTACAGAAATCACACCGGACCACAAGTACATCAGTGCGCTTTTACAGGCCAGTAGAGCGGAAGAGGAATTAATCATTTACTACGACGATGTATTCCCCCAACGTTGGGCGCCGCTGCCTGGACGACTGATCGAGAATCGGATGTCGTATGACTATTGGGGCAAAAGGATCCAGCCAAGAAGCTCCAAACCCTTGGAAGCAAGTGAGGTTGGCTCATATTTCTCGAGAATATCGAAGCAACTCAGGGGGCTAGAGATACCGGATGTCATAGATTCATGGATGTTCGATTGCCTGCAGCGTTCCGACTACCTCCTAGCTTTCTTGCGATGCACCGGCTTTGGTAATCCTCCATGCAGTGTTGATCGTCCCTTTACGGCCGGCGATGGAGAGAAACTGAAGAAAGGCGACCTCCCTCTCAACACGATGGCACTGGTTGGCAAATGGAATGTTGAATGGGTATCTGGACTGGTTGCTAGTTTTGATTATGGAAATGAGGACCTTGTTTCAAAATCTAGTAAGAAATAGAGGCTTAAAAGTTGGTAGTGGTCTTGTTAGAGAGTGGTTGCTAGGGGGTTAAGCTTTGGCTGGCTTCGAACAGGTAGCAACGATGATAATTCAACATCGCATACTGTATAAATTATAGCCCCATGTATCGTATGGATGAACGATTTAGATGAGCAGTGACTTGATGGCCAATTAGTTGGTCTCACTTAGCCACTCCTCCAATCTCCCCGTCCAAGGCCAGTCAATCGTCCGCCCCCCCTGAGCGTCAACGGTGAAATTCCCACAGAAATCACCAACTCCCACCCCCTTGAGGTTAGGAATCTCCTCTTGAACTATCGATCCCGCACGCTCTGTCGCATCAATGTCATCCAGTCGGACCTGACGCCAGAGCCGAGCACCATCGTCGCCGTTGTATGCGTTACCGCACCACGGACCACCATCAAAGTCGAGGTGCAGGTTAGCTGAATATGAAAGGTGGAGCTTCTTCAGCTTGTGAAGCAAAGCAAAAGTCTTTGTCATGTTCTTTGAGGGCAACTGTCAGGGGTTGTCGACGCGACAAGTGGAAGACTTGAAACTTACTCGAAGTGCCTCCCCTGGGGGAGCGAGGTGCCCGTGTGTCAAGGGACCAACCCAGAGTTCTTCGAGACTCGGGAGAACTTTCGGTATGACTGGGAGATATCAGCTTTACCCAGACTTAAAAGGACTGTCCAGGTATTTGCAGAGCAACTTACGTTCCGTCATCTCAACCTGTTTATCCCATCGAATATCCCCCAGATTCAGACTCTTCAACTCCTTTAGCCTGTCCAAGCTCTCAAGCCACACCAGTGGAAACTCCCTCCAGTCCTCAGGTTCCGAAAAAAGAGAGCTATCACTTGTGGCCTTCAACATCCTCAACCGAGGCGTCGAATCCCGGATCCAAGAGGCGTACATATTGGCCCTGAGCTCCTCCACAGATCTCAACCCCACACCCTGTCTTTGAAACTCGTCACGAAAAGCTTGGTTCTCGTCCCAGCCCCTGATCGTCCAGTCAAGCTTCTTCAACCCCTTCATCTCACCCATAATCTCCGCAAACAGCCCCGGAAGGTCATCAGGCGGTAGAACAGACTCGGCTTTATGAGCGTAGACATCGACTTTCAACTCTCGCACCTCCTCCAATGCCCTGGGGCAGTTCTTCATCTCCAGCAAGCGGTTCCGGGCGTTGGGCCAGCCGTATCGATCCACCCCGACGCGATTGTTGTCGATCTCGAGGCTGTGGAAGAGATCGCGGGGGACGTCGAGGCCGGTGAGCTGCCATTTGTGGCCGCATTCTGGGTCGTGGTTGCTCAAGGCTATGACGTCTTTCAGAGGCGTGCAGAAGACGGCGTATGGGTCGTCGAGATTTGCGAGTTCGTCGGCGTGGGCTGTGAGCCAGGGGTGTCTGGTGTCGAGGATGAACTGCGGGATCTTTGCTTTGGAGGCCGAGTCGGCTTTACGCCAGGAGGGAAGGAGGGGGGATTGCCATGCCGCTGCGAGGCCCTGGAAGAGGAGGGCGCAGGATAAAATTAGGAAGAGGGTTGACTTGGTTTTCATTTTCATATTTTGAGGATGGACTTGGGTTGTCGATGCTCTTGCGCTCTGCCCTGCTGGCGAAGGAGTGAAGTATATTCAAGCATGTTTGCGGTGTGATGAACGAGACGACTGAAAATGTGTCCTTAGCCTGGAACAAACTCGTTTTCATGTTGTTCACTGGAATAGTCGTGTTCAAATTAACGACTGGCCGTTGGACATGAAGGTGGGGGGTTTTTGGGAGTCATCCCATCGCGCGACGATTGCTGTGCCGCGGCACGGGCGCGGGGCTCGACGCCCGACATCCACACCAACGCCAGGCATAGGGGACAGATCTCATTACCACGATGAGTCAAAAGTCAAGCATCGAAACATCAAGAAGCATCGGGACAAGTTTTGGGAATCAAAGAACATTAATGCAATGGATATCGTGCTCTCACATACAACCATCAGGCACCGACCTGTACCCATGTTCCCCATTACCACACCCCATCCCAAAACACCCTTCATTTCTAACATTTGCAATTTCAAACTCAATATTTCCTTCCTATACAAACAATGATTTGCCTTGGTATATGTTCCATAAAATTCCTGAAAGTCGTGCTGGACTTCCGGGCCATGTGCGTCGTAAGGAGTGTCGGGGGGGTATCATAGCCATTCAAACCGTCCATTAAATATGCAGCAAACCCTTCAATGTATTTACCCGCCCATAAAGCATGCTGAATTATTCATTATAGTCTAAGGAGTGTCGTGACATTCGTCGTTGTATCATATTCGCCAATGTCTCGTTCGTGAATACGCCATAAGATCGGCTCAATGGCCGAGAGGGAGTGTCGTGAATGATGAAGCAAAATAACTTTTCCCGCCTGGATGTATGAATCCTTGAAGAATTTTAATCAAAAATATGTGATCAGAAGGAGTGGATGGTAAGATTAGATGAGGAGGAGAGCCACGATCGGTGCCAAGATGGCGAAGAAGGTGGAGGTCGCAGGCTTGACGGCCGCGGCGGTGACCGCGGCAGTTGGGCCGGTTGATGTGGAGCTCGGCTCGGTGACAGTGGATGAGGCACTCGGGGCAGAGGATGCAGCTCCGCTGGTTTCGGAAGGGGCAGCGGTGCCAGATTCCGAGGGGCTTGATGCTGACGGGCTGGAGCCGGCTCCGGTTGTCGCGGTTCCGGTGGACTCCGCGGCAGACGAAGCAGAAGAGGCCGTGGAAGCTGAAGCCGAGGCAGTTGCCGACGCAGTTCCGGAAGCAGTTGCGCTGGCAATAGCAGTGGAGGTTGCGCTTGCCTCGGTGGACTCTGCGGTAGACTCAGCCGACGATGCGCTCTCAGAGGTCGAAGCTGTTGCGGTTGTTGCGGTTGAAGTCGTGGCTGATGGCGTGGTGGATGCGGCCGACGACGAAGACTCAGGCACGGAGGCAGTCGCAGAGGCGGACGAGCTCTCAGGGGTACTCGAGGACGCCGCTGTGACGGAAGTGCTCGTGGCGGAGGAAGTTGTCTCAGCTACTGACGAAGGACTGGTGGACGACGAGGGCGTGGGCGTAGGAGTAGACGCGGGAGCGGTAGTGCTCTGAACAGACGTGCTCGATGAGGATTCGGTGATGGGCTCAGGAGTCATGCTGCTCGCCTGGCTTATCTGAGATTCAGTGGTGAGGGTCGCGGTTGCTGTCCCTACTGGAAGTGCAGCACTGGTGGTTCCTGTGACTGGTGCCTGGCCATCGCAGTAGTCGTTAAATTGCTGGAACTTAGGTGCTAGGTATAATTGCTGAGTCAACTTGACATTTTCGGAGTTCAAGTCGATACATTCACCGCAAATCGCGTAACTCTCTTTGAACGCAGAGCCAGTTGCACACAGGGCTGATGACTTTCCAACTTCCTGTGCTTCAGCGTAGGCATCGTTGCAAGGGGAGAAACAGACTGCAGGAGCAACTGAGTCATCGCGCTTGCGAAGAATGGCGCGACGCTCGTACGTCTTTCCTGGTTTGTGGTGATACTCGTAGCTTTGAGCAGTGCTTGTAGGAACAGGTGCGACAGTAGCGGTGGCGGTTGTTGAAGCCGGGGGGAAATGCGTCAGCGAAGTTTGCGAGGCCCAGTTGCCCGTCGTGATGGTGGCCGTCTTGTACTTTCCATGTTTCTTGTAGGTCGTCGTAATGACCTCAAACTCAAAGACATCATACGAGAGACCGAAAGCCTCCGGGTTCAGGTTGAAGTAGCCTTCATTTGGAGGGATGTAACCAGTCTCATTATTCTTCCAGTCCAAGTCGGATCTCTTGAACTCCGGTGCCTCCACACAGTACTGGGGCTCACAGACATACTCATCGACGGGAGAGTCTGCCCAAAGGTCGCAGCTACCTGGTTTGGGGGGGTTGCAGACATAGCCAGGTGCACAGCCCCAGGTGCGGTCTGACTTGGAGTCGAAGGCAGCCAAACGACCGGGCGCCGCAGTTGGGACAGGACACGCTTTGATGTCCGTGTAGGTCACCGTCGTCGTCGTGGGAGGAAGAGTGAGAGTGACTGGAGGCACAGTCACTGTCGAAGTCACCACCGACGTCGGGCCAGGAATCACGCTGGTAAAGGTCGTTCCGTCCTCGGTAACCGTAATGGTAGATACTGGGGCAGTCTCGGTCAGAGTGGTAATCACGGTGGTACCAGGGAGAGTGGTTGTCTCAGGCGGGATAGTAATAGTCTCGAGGTCCGTTGTGGTGAGAGTCAGTGTGGTGGCTGGAAGCGTGATTGTAGTCAGCTCGCCAGCAATGGTCGAGATGATTGTCGAGCCAGGCAGAGTGATCGTCTCAGGGGGAGAGGTGACGGTGGCACCAGGTCCAGTGACCGTTGCGGTAGCGAAGATCGACGTAGGAACCGTCACGGTAGACGCCGGCAAGGTGATCGTGGTGAGCGAGCCGGAGATGGACGTAGTCACCGTCACTGGCGGTATGGTGATGGTCGAAGCAGGAAGCGTGATAGTTTCTCCAGGGCCTGTAACTGTTGCGGTCGTGGGCACGATGATGGTTGATGCCGGCAAAGTGATTGTCGTGAGGGAGCCCGAGATCGTGGTCGTCACAGTGACCGGCGGCAAAGTGATTGTGTCTGGTGGAGAGGTGACCGTTGCTGTTGCCGTGCGGGTATTGGTGCGCGTGATATACGAGACGACGGGGACCTTGGATATGATGGTGGTAACGTAGGTTTCCACTACAGTCGTGTAAGAAGTCTCCCGGATAGTGCGGTCATTCGTGACAGTAACAGGAACAGTGACAGGGTAGCTGGTTGAGACTGTGACGGTGTCGTAGAAAGTCTTCGACACGTAGATGGTGGTTGAATCGGTGTATCGCTCAGTCTGTCGGTCTGTCACAGTGGCAGTCGCAGTGGCAGTCTGGGTCTGGATTTCGGTGTAAGACGCCGTGATGGTGATTGGCTTCGTGTAAGTCGTCTTGCTAATCCAAGTAGACACACTCCAAGCTGTCGTCGTCGTAGTGTGGTCCAGCGTGATGGTATAAGGAACGCTTGTAGTGTAGACATACGTCGAGACGATGGTTGTCGGTGTTGTGAAAGTCGTAACAGACGTCACTGTAGCTGTGCGGGTAACAGGCTTCGTGATAGTGGCCGTGTTGGTCACTTCTTTGGTCTTGTCCTTGGTTACAGTCTGGTAGTCGGTTACTTCCTTAGTTTTATCCTTGGTGATAGTCTCGTAGTCCGTGACCTTTTGAGTCTGAGTCTTGGTGAAGTAGTAGTTGCTGGTCAAGACCTCCGTCGTCGTGAAAGTGGTTGTGATGTACTGAGTGACGCTCGACACCACAGTCACCGGAATCTCAGTTGTCACGATGTGTTTGGTGGTGAAGGTTGAGACCGAAGTGTAAACCTTGGTAGCGGTCACCTCCTGAGTCTGTGTGACAACTTGGGTGCGGTCCTTGGTCTCCGTGTACTTTTGGGTTTCGACTTCCGTTTGGACAATAGTCGTGGGATACTTTTGGGTAACTTCAACGGTGGTTGGCACCGGAACAGTCGTATATTCGGTGATGTACTCTGTTTTTGTTGTCGAGGTTACCACCGTCTTGGTCTCGCAGATCTCGTGGTTAGTCCGCTTTCTGCCGTACGTGGGGTACCCGGCCGGTTCTGAAGTGGTCGGCTCAGGTACAGGTTTGCAGCTGAGATCAATTAGTACTAAGATCCACTAGTATAGAGTCTTGATCCTGTAATCTGCACATTATGCATCCGATGCCAGCTCATAGAAGGCTGGGAGCTAAGACAGTGGATGATGGGATTCGGTCATCTTCCCACTAGCGACTAATGACCCGAACCGTAGACGAATAAGCGTAGAAGATGAGGTTTTCACTTACATGGCAACTGTCGTCGTAACAGGATACGAGGTGACGCTGGTCTTCACTACGGTTGTCGTCTCATAGTCAGTTGTGGTGTAGGACTGGGTGGTGAAGACTGTCTCGGTGCATGTGGTTCTGTATGTTTGTCAGAAAAATCGCCCTATATTCTCTGGTAGAGGCAGATAGACTCACGTGGTTGTAAGAGTGGTAGGCTTCTCCGTGGTGACAGTGGTCTCGATCGTCTTCCAAACGGTCTCCGTAGCTGTCTGCGTCTCTTTAACTTTCTCCGTGACAGTCACAGTTTTCCCCCAAGGGCACTTGGAGCCCCAATGCTCGCAATCATCGGTGTTGGTGTTGTAGTCCTCAGTCTTCTTCGAATCAGTGGGTGTTGGCTCTGGCTGGGCAGCGTACGACGACGCAGGCCCAGCGACCGATTCAGTCTTTGCTGGGACTGACGACACCACCTCGACGACGGACTCCGGCGTGGGTGAAGGAGTGTATTCAGCAGAGCTTGCCGCATATTCCGCCGGAGACGAGTCGTTTTGTCTGGCATGTATGCCGTCCTGCGCGGCGGCATTGGCGGCCAAGGTCCCGAGGACCAAGAGTGATCTCAACAACATGATGGCCGAGTAGCTGAGGTGAACGAGAGGCTAGTTCCCAAAGGCGCCCACAGTCAATGGTAGTATGCGATGCGACGATCGACTAACGAGTGTGGGAGGGCGGCCTTTGAAGCTGGAAGGCGCGCTCAGAGGGTGTCAGGTGGGAGTTGGGGGCAGGACAAACTCAGGCGAGCTGGGAATGGTACCTGGGGGCTCATATGTATGTACGATGGGATGCAGCGAGGGGAAGGGAGGCTGAGAGCTGAGTTGGCGAGGCAGCCTTACCTGAGCTCAGAAGGAAGAGGGCTCCGTACAATGACAGGAAAAGATTCCCCGCTAGCTTTAGCCAGAGAGAGCAGTCCGTACCCCGTAAGCTAGCTGCGTGGTGTCCGCTCGGCGGGACCTCCGTCCGAGATGGTGTTGACAAAGATGGGTGGCCTATGAGCCGGGCATATAGCAAACCTCTCTCTCCCTCTCTGTCTCTCGCTCGAGCAAATGGGGAGGGCGTTAACTAATTAAGCCAGCCAGCGAGAGGCCGAGGGCAGGGAAATGAGATGACGAAGGAATCCAGCAACATGGAAGCTAAGCTCTAGACTCCTCGTGTACTGACGTGCCACCACCCTGATGGGGGCGTGCCTCGGACGGCAGTCGGGGTGAATGGAGGCGTGGACTTCTACCATGATGCTTCACTCGAAGATCATTGGCGAATGCAAGATCGGGACAAGAGCAATGGGGTACAAGAGGCGACAAAGCCGGTGGAAGTGGGTATCGGAGGAGGGGCGTGGCCGTGTGGGAATCCACCAGGACCCTGGCCCGGGGCTTGCGAAGATGACGGCAGGGGTGTTGGCTGGAGATGGCAAGCTACTGCCTTGAAAGGCAAGCAGCGCCCGACTCGAAGTTGGATGGGTCTCTGTGACAACGGCACACGGGAACGGCTCCGGAAGTGTCGTCGCCAAGATCAATAAAATGTGATGGCGACGACATGAACACTTGGGTACGCGTCCCGGAGGAGCAGCGCCTCGATACGGCAGTGTTGAAGGCTTGAGATGTCAACAGCGAAGTGCGAAGTTACTTGCAGAGCATCAGGCTGGCATCATGGCTGCTCCAAACTCCCACCCAAGAGAATCTACCTAGCTGCGATATGCCGCACGAGGAACCGACGCGGGTTGTGGGTGATCGCCAGGGTTGGGCTGGAACTGTAGCAAACTGGGACCAAGTAGAGGTCCGCAGTGAAAGAGGCGAAAACGAAGAAGAGAAAAACGAGAAAATGGATCATCAAATCGTATAGAGTGAGATAGTAGAGACCACGGCGTGGTGGGTGGTGAGCCAGACGACTCGCGACTCGCTCTGGTTCCCGTCTTGAAGCCTGGCCACATGGATGAGGTCGGGCGGCGTGGGGAGGCATCGGCCGGCCGTTGTCGTTGTCGTTGTGCTTGGGTTGGGGGCGGGTGGCATTGGCAAGGGCCAAGACCGAAGAGCTTCCTGCACGCCCAGGGGACTTTTGGCGTGGGCCACGGACATGACTGGTCTGCCCTGTTCCCGCTCGCGCAAGACTCGTCTATCACGCTGCAAGCCAGGGTTAACTGCACATGTATGCCTGTGCTGTTGGATCGGTCTAGGTCGGAACGGGCAGAACGAGGTGGATATGATAAGTAACGTAACAAGTAACTCTTCAATGAAGAGGCGTTGGACCGACAAGAATTCTGGGGCCTAGACGTGTCGGGAAAGCAGTAGGGTGGTAGACATGCGGGATGCGAAGCGCCTGCGACGGTTGAGTTCCGGCGTGGGAAACAAGATTGAAGATCATCGACCCAGGGACGCAGACGATATTGCTTCCAGATTGCCAGGCACGGAAAACTTGTTGGTCAAGGTGCCAGAACGTGGCAAGACTCGAATTAACAAGAGACACGAACCCGAGCAGTTGTGCGACTGGCATGGCTCGACGGCAGCGTCCGAGTGTCCCTTGCGGAAGATCAATTACCGGGCACAAAGGAAACAGGCTGCCATCGAGTCGTCCAAGATGCTAGTATCCGGTCGATTGCAGCGGGAAGAGGGGCTGTGAGGCAATCCAAGTAGCACAGCATGAGCCCAGAGGTGCCACTTGTGCGCACTGCGAGGCGATTTGAGAGAACAATTGGTGACAGAATTGTGTCTCAGGGAGATTTCGTGTGATGGGGTCGTATTGATACAATCATCGGCGATGCGGTGCAAGCAGCAAGGAGAATCCGGGGCAAATTGGCCATGCGCCTGGCGATGTTGTGCCGTCTTGCTGTCGTGGACGTAGCCGTGAATCATGACTCGATCTCGACCACTGCTTTGGACATCTTGGAGGCAAGGCTGGTGACAGTGTAAGCATAACTCGGTCTCTGTCATATGCAATGAGGTATTTGTAAGGTCTCAATATTGAACATAGCATGATGCATGGCCGGATTCGTGGCCATTCTGCAAGTGCTGATTGCTCGACCCATTGAACGGAGCCATGACATCGCCGTACATGGAAGTTTCTTCGTGAGATCCTTGTCGTGAATTGGATTCAATTGCAACGAGGGTGGTTGGGATGGTCAGGCTGAGGGAAGGGCGGCCAGGTGGGAAAATGCGTGAAGGAGAAGAAGTCAGCAGAGAAGGATGAGATGGCCAGGAACAGGGGACAAAAACGCACTCACAATAGGCGTGAGCTAATCCGAATTAAGCTTAGCATCTCAGCATGGGATTTTCGCTCCTGCCCTATGAGAAGGACCGCTCAGAGCGGGCTTTCTTCTTTTGGCCCTGTTTGCTGATCTAATACTGGGGATGGAAAGAGGGGTAATGGGTGAAAGTGGGTCGCTTCCGTCCGTGCCTGCTCGTCTTCCAAACCGGACTTCCCATTGGTGCAAACGACGATTACCTCATCAAGCTAGACTGGGAAGAGCCTAGCTTCCCGGCCGCCGTTTCTCGCACTCTATTCTCCCGTCCCTTCTTCCCGCCTTTGTCTCTTCATCCACCATCGATCAATGTTTCGCTTCCTCGGCGAGGACCGACTTCGAGGCTTGCCGCCACCTCCGCACCCGATGACCCCATCTAGATGAGAAAGCCATCGGGTCTTTTCCAGGTTTCGCTCGGTCTGTGGCATGATTGCCCGCCTGTGGCAGGCTGGCTGCTATGCTCATCAACACGATTCATATTGCGGCATCGCCGCCAGAGTCTGGTGGTCGTCTTACGGTTCACCGACTCTTAATATTGTCCAGGATACGTCTTACTCGACCCATCCTACAGGGCTGACAGCGTCATCCTACCACACTTTATTTTAGTGAGCTTCTGGCTCTGCCTGTTCCTGACCTAGAAGGCTGGAGACTCGATGCTGGAGCTCGCCCGAGCTCCCTGGTCCCGATCCTGGTCGCAATCCACTGCCCCAACTGTGCTGGTCCCATCCAGGCCTTGCAGCTCTGCTTGGCGGCTCGTCTATTGACTGACTTGCAGATACCTTTCCCTTGTTTCGACCACTGCCACCACACCACCATGTATGCATGCTGATGCCGGGTCCGCTGCGCCCAAGAAGCTCATGACAGGCACAGGCAGCAGCCATCTGAGTCCCGCCGGCAGAGCACACTTTTGCTTCCTTCAGGCTCATGACCCCGAACCATGTCACTGCCGTTGGTGCGCTGTCTCGCCTGTCGCGCAAGTCTGGGTCGCCTCAAGTCTCGGACTACTTGCCGCGAGGAGTAAAGACAAGCACTGGTGCTGACCAGATGCTGTGCTAGAGAAGTCAAAACTACAGCCAGGCAAGCAACCACGCATCATTGGGGAAATTCCAATTCTTCTCATGCGGCAAACTCCCGAGGAAACTTTCTCCCCATTTAGCCGACAGGGTAGCATGTTTGTCTGCCACGGCAACCAACTCTTTGCTCTTGATTCCTTGAGTTGGTGTGGCTGGTTCGTCCCAACAAGTGTTGACAGAAGCCAGCTGTGTTTATGCTTACGGTCGTCCCTGTCGGGGATGCGGTATCGCTGCCGTGTTTCCGCACACTGAGCACTGCCTGCCTGTGCCACACCTGTTGTTACTTCTATGTTGGTGCTGCGCAATTCGTTGCTCTCCTCGCAGTCTACACGAGTCAATTACACAGCGCAAGCAGTGGGAGCGATCGGCAAGACACTTCTCGCCTGGTGAGAGAGTCTTCGAATCAGACACAGGATGCCTATTCCAAGGCGAATTGCACTTTTCCTTCCGTAGGATCAAGCTCAGTGGCCATGAAGTTCATTGACTAGCCCACTGGATGGTGAGGCTGAAGTCGCCATGTTTCTGCGATCAGCACCAGAACCAGTCGTTCTGCTCTGGGATGCCAACCATCACCCCTCACAACCCACCAATCATGACGAGAGCTACTTCCACACTCAAGAAAATCGGTACGAGCTTCTCGTCCTCGTGAATGGCCCCATCCGAGAGTCCGCCGAGCCCGACCTGCCTCGTCTAGGGCCCGAAGACTTGCATAAGCACATCGCATCCTCTACCACCCTCCATCTTCTCGGTTGCCGCCTCCAGTCGTGCTTCACCCAGTGGGTCCAGCCTTACACACACACACTGAGTTGGGCAGTCGGACTGACTTTCTTTGTGGCAATAATCTTATCATTGTCTCTGCCGGCTCGTTGGTCCCTCTTGTCGTTTCCCGTCGCCACCGTCCCGATCCGTTCTCTCGGGCATCTGGTGAAGGCGACGCTGCGGGGTTCAGTCGATCTCGACCGTGTTCTCGAGCCCTCCGTTTTCATCTCCCGGCCAGTTCTTTTTGAGACTCGGACTATCAATAATCGAAGTAGTTTCTCTGAAGTTTTCTCCCAATCACAGGCACAAGCCGGCCCAGTCAGCCGTAAGAGCCTCTCTGCAAAGCCTGGCCCGTCTTCCTTTACGCGGGGACTCCTAACCGCACTCGAGCCATCACCCGCCGCTCTGCTTACGCTGACCTCCTTCGCTCCGCTTCTCTCTTTCAAGGCTCTTTGCCACTTGCTGCTAGTAGCGCGGTGTTATCCCGCCCCAAATAAGCACCTCGAGCAGCCGCCATGCACTGAGACAGCGACGGCCTACGTGAATTCTTGCATTACGCCTCAAACGTCGAGCAACTCAGGCTCAACGCCGTGGAAATGATGGCTTCCACGCGCTCCGCGTTGTTCGCGGCCTTGGTCGGCCTCACGGCTGGTCAGTATGAAGGATGGATGCCCGGACAAATCAGTGCAAGTATGTGCTACTGGGAAGCACCAAGAGGTACGAAGCACCTGCTTCTTTCGATGCAGCAGCATACTGACGACACCAAGCTGCTGTTATTCGCGACACGCTCTGGCTTGATGGCGGAGACTTGGCCTGGACGCAGCAGCTTCCAAATGAGAATCAGGTTTCTTCATTGAGTAAGTCTCGTTGCGCTTCCATCAGGATTGATGCCGACTGACCTGCGCAGACAACCCGTTCGGGCTTATGCTTTCGTTCAACTTCAGCAACCCGTTCGATCTGGACACTAACCTCACCAAACTGATTCAAACTACATCAAAGGCGCCCGGTGGATCCGGCCCCGTCGGTAGTTACTCCCCTAACAGGATTGATGGAGCTCTTCTTCACAACGACGCAGAGTTCTACCTGTATGGAGGTAATCTCCAGAGAAGGACAGATGCCTCGGAGGCGCCAGACGATTCCAAGGTCATTCTCTGGCGTCTCTACGATTATGGTCCAGAGAAGGGGCTGTTCAGGAATGGCAGCGGTCAGCAGACCTTTCCCGACGGCGTCTCGCCGTTGGTAACTTACGGAGCAGGAGTCAGCGCTCCATCCGAAAACAAAGCGTGGTACATCGGTGGCATGCGTTCACCTGTCTGGGGCGAGATCTACCGGTCCAGCACCAACAAGTCCAACGTCGCCAACACGACGTCAGACTCACTCATCACCCTTGACATGTCGACACAGCTATCCGAGACGTTCTCCAACAAGACGTTGGAAGATGTAAAGCCAAGAGCAAACCCATCAGCAGTTTGGGTTCCTGTCGGAAAGCAAGGTATCCTGGTCGTCGTGGGAGGTGTTACGTATCCCGAATTCGCGAACAGCGGCCTCGCACAGTCTTCGAATCCAGAACTCAGCGCAAGTTCTACGTCGCTTTTTGGGTTTAACCTTTGTGCTAACAACCGATACAGGCGCAACAGAGTCCCGAGTTCACACAAAAGATTGATATCTACGACATTGCTGCGGACAAATGGTATCAACAAGAGACTACAGGCGGACCTGGCGCCGTCACCCGAGGTTGCGCCGTCCTGGCCACTGCAGCCGATCGCTCCAGCTTCAATTTGTACTACTATGGCGGCTATCCTGGTGTCAGCCTAAGTGAGGGCTTCAGCGATGCTGTCTGGGTTTTGTCCATGCCATCGTTCCAGTGGATCAAGCTGAACGATGGCAAGACGCTACATGCCCGCGCCGGTCACCAATGCGTGATGCCCTACCCGGACCAGATGTTGGTCATTGGAGGATACGCGCAAACATCGGGTGCTGGCAACAGACCCTGCGTCCAAAACTTTTTCCATGTCTTCAATGTCTCGAGCGGAGAGTGGCAGGACAGCTACAGTCCCAGCAAGTGGTCCAACTACACCGTTCCGACCGCCGTTCAGAGCAAGATTGGTGGTGACGCCCAGGGCTCGGCAACGGCCACGACACCGGTGGTATCAGGAGGCTGGGCTGATCCGAGTCTCTCAGCTGTCTTCGCCGCCGAGTACACAACAAAAATCAACACATGGTACCCCTACACTGAGGCGAAAGAGACTGACCGGCCGATTGTTGACGATCCCGGCAATGGTAACAACAATGGTGGTAGTGGCGGCACTCCGAAATGGGTCGCGCCCGTTCTAGGAGTTGTCTTAGGTCTCGTCTTTATCACTGGCATCTTGGTCGGTTTCTGCCTTTGGCGTCGTCGCAAGGTCCTCAGGCAGGGCAACGGGACTGCGACCGCCACTGACGACAACGGATCACGCATCATCTCCTGGATTAGAGGCCAGCCCAGTGAGCCTGCCAAGGCGCCGACCGTCACGACTGAAGAGACCCCGTCCACTCTGGATATGGCAGAGGTTCGCACGCCGCCTCCTGCTCCTGCCGTTTCTCCGGCACCGGTTATTGCCCATGAGATGGCCGATGACCACATTGCCGAACTTCCTGGCAAGTATCTTCCATCGACATCGCAACACCAGACTACTAACGAATTTCAGATACCTCACCTCGCGCAGAACTTCACGGCGTGGGCCTCACCCCGGTCGAAATCATCAATAAACACACCCACTTCGGCACGGGTAACGGCTCCAACCCCGGCACAACACATCAATCATCCTATTACGCCTCCGTCTCCAGCAACGAGAACGCATCCTCCCTCTCGCGGTCGTCGGGCGTTCTCGGCTTCCAGACCCGTGCGCAGTCCCCCGAACCCGGGCCGCCTTCCCCGCCTGTCACCCACTCCACCCCAGCCGGTCGCCACGACTCCGATGTCTCGGGTCTGAGCGACAACGAGACTCGGCACCTGAGACACATCAGCCAGGCGACGGTCAGCTCGGCATCATCTGGTGGCGAGCAAGAGGTTTCCGGTGCGCAGCAGGGTGCTCGCGGGGTACCCGCGACGGTACCGGAGACGCCTACACCTGGTATCCCTGAGACACCAACACCGGGACATCCGAGCCCTCTTAGTCCACCAACAGGAGCTTCCGATGGCGAGGATTACATCTCGGCGAGGATGTTGCCGGTCAGTCCCGCTGGAACGGGCACGCTTAGGAGGAGTATGTTCCACGAGAGTGAGGATGATCTTGGGTCCAAGAAGTAAAGAATCCGAGGATGTTCTGGTGGCAATTTGCAAATGAGGATATGATGTTTAGACATTCGTAATTTATTTCCTAATTCCAATCTTGTTGGGTCATCGATGCTTCAGTCTCGTCACTGTGTGCGTCTTGTTTGGGAAACTGAGATCCTCTCTCTGTGGGCAAAGACTTCAGGCTAGGTTGGCGTATCACCCTGACCCTAGTATCTAAGTAGCACATTATCTCTTCCCCTTTCCTACCCATCCGAGCGTAATGCCCCCGACGAGTTTCTCAGGGTGTAGATGAACAGATAACCGCCGTATTGTAGTACCACAACCCCTACCATCCAATAGTCAAGACAGACCGGCACTATTTCCCAAGGGCAGACGTAAAGGTGGGTGAAGGGCGTCTCCCAAGAGGGCAAGAAAATTCCTATAGTCCCTGACAGACATGCAATTATAAGAGCGACGACCGTTGCGCGTCTAAATGCATGGCTTCGCACCCAAACCTCCGTCTGCTCCAGCTCCATGCCCAGCAGAAGGACGAGGGCCGCCTGGATCGGCTGATACACAAAGAACCATGTCATCATTTTTACGAACGCCCGGAACACCACGTAGTTGTTGAACGCGTACACCATCAGCAAGAAATTGAAGCCGACGAACAGATGCACCGTGGCTCGAGATGATGGGGCATCCCAACATGCGGTGATGTGTGTCAATCTGACCCACTCGATGGGCTCTTGTCGCGCGTCTACGCCCTCTGGTTCTGAGGCCTGTATTTCGAGAAGGCCATCGGAGCGAGTTCTCGTAGCTCTACTGCGCCTGGTATCGGCGGCGTCTGCTGGTTCTTGACATGAATGGTAGGTCAGCAAAGCTGCTGACCCACGAGGCCTGGGCGAATGGAAGAAGAGGGGTCGCCACACGGAAAACGTACCCGGATTGAAGAACTGCTCGAATACTAGGCATAGTGGACTTATGAAGAGCACTACAGCGGTGACTTGCCCAAAGCTCCAGCTGTTCTCATCCTCAGGGCCTTCTGCTCGTATCAGTAGCAGTTGTTTGAGACCCCATGATGCCGTGATCACGACCCAAGCGACCTGTGAGGATCTTAGCAGTCATCCTTGCTCCCATCAGGGCGGCGATGGAAGGGAAAAGAAAGATAGAGTTTACACACCTCAGCAAGAAATGAGCTGCACAGCTCCAAATACAAGCGCCCCAATATCCAAGAGACAACCAATGGACGAGCGATGATTAGCGTGCACAAATGATGACCCAGCACTCGACGTAGGCCGAAGTCCTCCCCCTTGACTATGACGGCCAACTTCGATCGCAGGTACGACCTATAAAACGAAGTCCAACGGGAGACGCCGCGGCTCATTTTCACCGTTCGGATGATCAAGCCAAAGACTAGCATGGACACAGAGAATATCGTGTCTGCAAGCATGGCTATTTCAGGGACGCTCCCATTTGAAAGTCTCGACTCGTTGAACAAGCAAATTGCGCTGTAGTCGGTGAGTTTGCTTCCGTCGGAAGCGTCAATCTTCACCTTGATTGGAGTGTTGATAAACATGGCCACGCTCAGCATTGTGACGACGCAGAAGATTAACACCAGTCGCCATATGAGGCGTTCTGGGTGGTTTGCGTAGTAGGTTCGGAGGTGGGACAATGCTGCAAGGTGCGCCACGGATGAGAACCAGCTACGAATATTATTTATCAGCGTCGATGGCCCTGCAGTGCTTCCTTCTAACGAATTGCAGAGAGGAGTTTTACGCAGTGTAGACAATTATCATCCAGTGATAAGCTGAAATCGTACGAGGCAGTTCGTGGTAGCCACTGATCAGGACAGCGAGTACTGTGGCGATTTGGATGTCGCTCATCGCGAGTATGCACTGCCTCAACGTCAGAACTTGGTCAACGGCACGCCATTTCGCTCTGTCCATCTGTAGAGATGATCGGACAGCAACCACCATACCTTGTTGAACCCTCTCTCTATCGAAGCATCTTTCCGTTCATCCAAAAGCCAAGTAAAGCTGACACCGACGGTGAAAAGCGCCCATCTGACCCTTCGCAGAACTGCCACATCAATTGTGTTGGGTCTTTTCTGCTTCTTCATGGCTTGCCCTGGATCCCGCAGCGGGTCAAGTTTGGGGTCAAAGAAGAAAACATAGTAGATGATTAGAAGTAGAATCATCAGGCAACCAGTTCCAACGAACCCTATCGATACCTGCTCGTTTAGTTAGTTTCATTCGAATGAGAAGAAAAGGCGAGGGGCCCGCTCACACCTATCCCACTGACATCGGGATCGGACATGTCACTCGGGTCTGAGGGACCCTCGCAGTCGGTCATCATGTCGGCCTCGTATCTGTAAATTCTTGACTGGTATTCAAAATGAAAATGTGTCGAAGATAGGGATGGTTGGCAACAAACCGTGAATGGGGACGGTCGAAACTGCAATGTACGTTACCGTGGCTTAACTGAGACAGGTCAGCTGAACCAGCTCAGCCTGAGTCAGGCGCATTGGAATTCAGGCTGACGTGTTAGATTTTTTGAGAAGAGAAGACATGCTGTACGATCAGACCAATGATTGCTCGTGAGTATTTGTGAGACAAGATGCAAATATCCGACGAGAAGCCGCCAGTGTACGAGTTCGTACCATGAGCATGAAGTGGTATTGAAACGAAAATCAACGGATTGAGATATCTTGGTGCAATCAGTGCGAGGCGCCGAAACACCTTTAATCATTGTCACAACTGTCCTGGCCATTGCGCAGTATCCCGCAACCTCAAAGTCCCCTTGCATGCGTGACTTCACATTCCACCGGAACCTCTCGAAAAGAAGACTCGTGATCAGAAGCAGAGTCGAGACAACAGTAGGGATCACTCTGAAATACAAGCCTTCCTCAAATAAAGACACTTAGCTTCTCTTCTCTCATCTTGTCTTCGCGTATGCTTTCAGTAACTCTTGTGAGCCATCAACCCCACGACAGTGACCACTAATGTGGCAGACGGGACACAGAAGCTAGCCACACCCCAGCCGCCGGAGAAGTCAGATTTCGCAAACCACCAAGTAAAGCCAAGTGCAATGCTGACTAGTATCATCAACACGGTTATAACAACACATATTGTTTTCCAGTGCCAGTCCTCGTCAAGGTAAACTCCCCATCCCGTTACTGCTCTGCCAGCCTCAGCAACGAGCACGGTGTCTTTCTTCAAGGGCATGTGACATAGCACAGAAGTCTGCCCTTGGTCAAGACAGCCCGGGTTCCTGAAATGATGGATGAGGTAATTCTTGCCCACATCAAAAGCCTCCATGGGTGCTTGAGGAATGTAACGATAGTCATAGATTGCGGGTATGACGGGCCAGCAGCCGCAGCTGAAGACAGGATCAACACGGCAGGCGGCAGAGTGTCTCTTCATGTTTTGAATGAAGTTGCTGAAGTCAACACGTAACTATCGGACAATAACGTCAATGTACGTTTCTATGGGGTAAGAAGGCGACTAACCATGCAATTTCCGATCTCTGAAACGGTCCTCAACGTGAAGCGAGAAGACAATTTCCGTTCTGTCATATACTTTTCTCTTAGTAATTTAAAGAGGGCATTGTCGTTTTTCATCCGCACCTGATCAACGTATGCGTGACCTAGAACATTTGCGTATCCTTCCCTTCCAGCTTGAATACTGAATAGAAGAAAAAGACGATTTCTTTGCACGGATGAACCGGTCTGGGAAGGTATCGAAGGGCCTGTCATGATTGAAGTGCGTGATGGAATGCTAGAGCCGCCTCCTAGACCTTGGGAAGACGCACTTCCAGCCGAAGTCCATGTCCCTGCCGGTCCTGCAATATTTGATGGACCTTGGGTTCCTTGATTGTTACTTTTTTGCGTGTGAGTTGGACTGGGCTGTCTCGATCTTTGAGGATGAAGTTGCAGCTTTCGGATTTGCGCTGTTACGGGGTCGGCATAATCATCATACAGCCTTTGACCACATGACTGTACTTGACTTAGCCTATTTGGTTCTACCGTACTTTAGAATAAGGCTCATGCTTACACAGGTCCATCGGATTCGCTCAGTCCCAGGCGGTATTGGCGGCTCCCAGAGAACATCGAACCACTGCGGAAGCCATCTGTCGACTATTTCGGGCAAAGTGCGCCCGATGATGGTGGTGTTTTTGACGTTCTCTGAGAAGTGCTGTTGTGCTTTGTCGGGGGGGTTCTCTTCAATTTGCTCTTCGATGGCGTTTTGCAGATTCTCTCCAGCGCTCCAAATTACCCCTCGCGTGATCTGGTCTTGCTCCAAAAGAGCTCGGAGCTTGTTTTCAAAATAACCAAATGTTCACTCTCCAGAATGAAGTTCTCTAACTCTTCAATCTTCTCGGAAAGCTGCCTCTCGAGTTTTCGTTCCTGTTCCAGCTCAAAATTCGCTTCGTTTTCGTCGTCGTTGTCGATATGTGATTTAACCTCCGGAATCATGTCGGGAGCAGACAAATGTTCATTTTTGGATTTGCCTTTCTGCAATAGACTCATGAAGTATCTTCTTTGATCTTCTCCAGACCACGTCAACTTTTCGACTTCCAGTCGATGACCTGCGAAGTCAGGATCACAAGTCCTCCAGACCGAATCCGCGATGTAACCGGCATCACGTTTTATGCGTCGTGAGCGAGCCTTCTGCTCCATAGTCTTCGAATCCTGGTCCAGGCCTTTGCCCAAATCCCTGAGAGCATGCCGTGATTCATTTGCCAATTCCTTGCCTTCAATTCCGTCGAACCGCATGCGAGCTTTGAAAATGACAACTAATCCAGATCTCTCGACGAAAAGCGTTGCAAGAGTTTCGCGAAAAGCTTGGGTCTCAACGCCTTGAGCTGAGGACTGTGAACTGATGCTTTCCATATGCGAAAAGACCTTGTCGACGTCGGATTCTGCTTCGTCAAGCTGAGGGCCTGTTTGTCTGTCTGGTCTATATGAGTCCCCTCCTGCAATGCTCGCCAGGCCAAGGTCTGGACACTTTTCATATATGTCGTCTAAAATGTCG